CATTCAGCATAACTGCCTCTGTTTGTCCTCAGCATGGAACCTCCCACCTCTCCATTTTCCATCTAACCCCTAGTAAATGGCATTAAATTTGGCCTCTGATTCTGTCCAGGGCCAGAAGTTGGACTTGATGATCCTTGTGGGTCCCTTCCGACTCTGAATATTCTGTGATTCTGTGCAACTTGAGTAGCTAATTTTATTTATTTATTTATTTATTTATTTTAAGTAGAAGCTGTTTTCCTGAGTCCTTAAAAGGTATGGCCTCGTCCTTCCAGGAGACACCTGTCCATGTATCTCCTAAACTATGTCCTAGACACACTGGGAGAAGCAGATGGTGGGGTTTGAAGGGCTCAATTTAGGTTGCTTTTGGGTGTTTTTTTACCTCTTGGGAACCTGGTGCAGAGATCTGCTTGTGGGTCACGTGAGAGTGGTGGTTCCCCAGCCTTTTGCACTTCTGTGGTTAAACGCTTGACCCAGCTCAACCACATGTAAATTTAGTTTTAAATCCTGCTTGTAGGGTTCGAATCCTTGCTGTAGTGTAATGTGCTTTCTGGGGAAATGCTGAGGAAAACATTTTTGGAGTAGTTTATTGGAATAAAAATCTTGGGAGCAGCAAACCAGAAGGAGAATGGAGATGTTTGAATGGAGATTTTCTTCCCGTGTTTCCCTGACGAGGAGCCGGATTCTTGGCACTCCTTCCCATCTTCTGAGGAAGAAAAAGGCAGAGGGAGAGCGTGCATGTGTGAGACAACTGGCTGCTGCTGTCAGAATGCACGTGCCACTGGGAATATGAAATCCAGGCTTTCAGAGCTGCTGCTCGGTCCCACCTCCTGCCTCGCCCCGCCAGGGTTTAAGCGTTCAGCTGCTGCCTGGGTTTGTTTGTGGCCAACCCCCCGAATTTATCTGTCTCCTATGGCCAAACAGCTTCATCCCCGTGGATGAAGAAGCCTGGGGAGCGCAGCAGGGCCTGGGGACACGGTGGGAGGATCAGCAATTGCGCAGTGGAGCAGCTCCCGGCCGGGCTGCCAGAGCTGGATTAAAACCTCCAGCCCTGGAATTCCCCGTGTAACAGCCAGCTTTTGTGACACACAGCACCCCTGATTGCAGGTGTGTGCTGTGTTTGCAGTTAATATCAATTCCTCCTGGACAGTTCTTGCACCAGTGCCGGTTCTGAGCGCTAACCTAGAGAGCGTCGTGCGTGAAAATGAGATTGGGAGGCTTTTGTTGATCCCACCCCCCCAGCCCCATGCTCTGATTTGTGCTGGGGCTTTAGGCGGGGCTGTGAAATTGCTGATGCACAGAATTTATTCAGCTCTGTGTTGATCAAAGCAGTGTATTTATGTGGAGTGTTTTATGGCAGGAATCCGGGCGGATGCCCCGGAGAGAGCGGGGTGGTTTGTGGTGTTCTCAGAAGTCCCACTCTGTGTGCCCGGTGGGTTTGGGCACAGGGGCGATGTTTGCCACCTGCTGCAAGATTTGGTACCGTGTTAGTGTGAATGGATGATGTTCTAGCCCTGGAAAGGTGGGAATAACGTGCTTTCCTATGCCTGTGCTGCCTGTCTCCCTGTGACCTCCCAGGTACATCTGGGAGCTGGGAAAAATTCCCTCATTAAAAAACTGTGTGTGTAACAGCACTGATGGGGCTAGAGCAGGGCGAGTGCATCCCGTGGGAACAGTGCTGTGGGTTTGGAGCTCCTCCTCTAAATTGAGAAGGTCATTTCTTTGTTCTTGGTGTCGGTGGTTCAGGCAGCAGTTCGTGTCTCCGTCATATCCACGGATGTTTAGGAAAATACAGGGGTGTCTTGTAGCTGTGGGAGACATCCTGGTGTATTTACAGGCTGCTGTAATTCAATATTTGAACTGCCTGATCTCCCTAATTCCTCTTTCCCTCCGGTGCTTTACAAACTCCGAAGGTGTAAGTTCTTAAAAAACAGTGACCGTGGTGCTGTCTGAACTGAACCATCCCAAAATCACTGCCCTGGCCCTGCTTTGCTTTCCCCAAACCAGTGATGGGTCTCATCGAGGCTCAAATTCAAAGGCAGAATCAGTTTATTGTTTGCCTTAATCCTGCAGTTACAGGTACAGCCTTGCTCTGTATGTTCTTCACTGTTTATGCCTTTGTTTGTGTAAATGCTTCATACTGAGAGAGGTTCTCTCCATCTCTGTCCTGTGCAGCTCCTAATTTTGTGGTGTGCCCATGATAAGGGCTCCATAGTGCTTTGGACACAGAAGTTGCCAGGGATGCATCCCGCTGTGAGCTGAGATTTGCATAAAATGATTCTTGTTTGAGGGGTGAGCGCGAGTTCGCTGTTACGTTTCTGGGTCCGCAGATTCGACTTGAAATATTTAGAACAGAACGGAAATGCAGGTCGTCCTTTTGTTAAAGAGTTTGGTTGGGGGGGTATTAAATTTAAACTATTTACAGTGAAATGCCGAAAACCCAAACAGAAATGGAGGATGTGACTTATTCCAGCTAATGAGCATATCCAGCTTTCAGGGATGAAGGAGCCACTTTGAGTAGATGTGAACTGACTGTGTGACAGTCCTGGTGAAGTGGGGCAGCATGTCAAGATCTGAATTTAATCCTGGAAATAACAACATGTTGTGGTTGTGCTGAGCTCCACACACAGTGCTTTTGGGGAGGGCATGGGCCAGGTCCACGAGCCTGGGTGTTCAGTGTGGATTCCAGTAGGGAAAGAGCTGTTGGATAACTTCAGGCTGTATTTTTTAGATGTAGTACCCTTCTCCAAGTTGCTCTCACCACCCCAATCAGTAGTGACCAAGAAGAATAAATCTCAGTGCTCACACTTGATCAGGGCATATACACTTGAATATTTTTATTTTTCAATCCTCTGCCCGAGTGTTTTATTTCACCTTGTGTGCACCTCCTCTGAAGATAACAGTGAGACTTGCAAGGCGTCCTGTTGGCCAGGGGAATAACAAGTTGGCTCTGAAACTCGTGCAGCTCGTGGTGTTTCATAATTAATCTGGGTGAACTTTCAGTGTTTAAAAAAAGGAAATAGGAAATGGCAATTAGGCAGAACTCTCACTCTCCAATCACGTCTATAGTGCATTGCCATTGTTACTTACAGCTTTTCAAGAGCCTCCCTGGAGGGCTCTATATTAAGTAATTCATCTTGTTTAACACTTGAGAGTGAAGCACGTGCAGTTAATTGACAACATATAGAAATAATGATCTGATTAATAGAAATCCAGTTCCTGAGAGCCCAGACTAGTTTTTTCCTTTACAAGCTTTACGGCTGATTGTTCTTTTCGAGTTCACTAATTGTATATATTCATCTGCCACTGGATCTGCGAAGGCAAAACTGAAATCCAGTTTGTGAGGGAAATGAAAATCTATACGTAGCTCTCCTGCTCCTTCTGTGCCATTAAACAGCCAGAAATGTGATAGCCCAGACTGTTGCATGTTTAGTAGGGCTGACAGAGTAATAATGATGGGGTAGGTTTATAAAGAAAAGGTTTTTGAAAAACCCCAAACCCACAAACGACGACCAAAAAAAAAAACAACAAACAAAAAAACCCCACAAACCAACAGAAAACCACAGCCACCACCCCCATCCTTACATCTTTCATTAAACACAAAGTGTGTTCAAACACGCTTAAATATTGCACAGAGCTGAACTGCAAAGTGATCTTGGTTTGAGAGCTGCTGCCGTGGTTGGGCTGGGGAACGGGAGGGTTTAAGCCAGTGTGGTGTGTTCCCCCCTAAGGCAGCGATTTTTGTGCAAATTGTTGTGTTTGGAGGCTCAGCCTTGCCCTGTGTTTGCTGGCTAACTCACCTACCACGTGTTTAAAGGTGGTGGTTTGGTAGCACAATGAGTTTTAAAGTGTGTGTGGTTGGGAATTAGGGTTCAAATTAGAAATAATTCCGGTTTAAAGAAAATTAAGGATGAAGGGAGAAGTTTAGGGTGTGTTGCTAGAAGTGTTTTATCTTGGTGTGGTGGAGATAAGAGTGGGTTTGTTTCCAGCAGAGGAGCCTCAGTGCCTCCCTGGTACTCGGGCCACGTTTGCTAATCCTGGCTCAGGCTGGGTCACACCAGCAGCTCTAAATGGGATTTGTCATTGGGAAGGGAGACAGCAGAGTGCCCAAAATAGGCTTTTAACCCCCAAGGAGGCAATGCCAAGCCTGGCCTGGGGTCAGGCCTGCAGTCCCCCCCCAGCCAGGGGAGAGGGGAGGGCAGGGAGCAGGTGCTTGGGCTTTGGGGTCGGTGCCTCTCTGGTGTTCAGAGCGCCTGGACCTTCTGCATCTCCCTGGGACAGCGGGGTCAGGGGTGGGATGTGCCTGAAGGCTGCATCTCCACTCTGTCCAGAGCAGGTGTGGGATCCCCCCTGAACCAGCAGCAGGGCGTTCTCCCTTAGTTTAGCACATCTCTGCAGAGGTACCACCACTGTAGCTTTCTTGTCTAACACGTGTCTGGTATTTTCCCCCCTAACTGTGGTGTTTGAATATAGAACTCTCATTTCCATAACATCCCATGTGTGCTCTGAGAACTGGGCTTCCCTTGAGGAAATGCTGATCCACACAGTAAAACTGATTTTGGTCACAACAGGCAACACTGTTTGCATACAACTGTCCCATGTTTACCTTTCTTGGAGATACTCTTCTCACTATTATCTAAAACAAAGGTGACACTCACAGTGTTCCAGCCGTGCCTATGGCAAACCAGGGACACCTGACGTGGGAGTTGTTGTTTGTAAAGTAGTTTTTAAAGTAGCTGGCTTTTCTCCACGTTATCCTTATTACTTATATAGAGATTTTTACATATAAAAAAGACACGTCTATGAATACATAAATAAGGCAAGTACCTGCCTTACCTTTCTTAAGTAACTCCTGTGTGTGTGCACGTAAACTCAGCTTACGCTGCAGTACTTGGTTAATTGCAGAAGAGCTTAAGGAGCCCGTTTTTCCCCAAGTGAAGCCTTTTTCTGTGGTGTGTGATGTGCCTTTGCTGTCTCTCTAACTGAGCTGCTTTGTGTGACAGGTGGGAGATTCAAGAAGGAGATAGTAGTTGATGGACAAAGCTACCTGCTGCTGATTAGAGATGAAGGAGGCCCTCCGGAGGCTCAGGTGAGCATCTCTGAGAGCCCTGGCAGCCCAAAGCCTCGCTTTGCCTGCTTTCACAAACCTCCCTTCAAAAGAACTGGCTTTGCTTTGTTCTGCCCTGGCTCCCCTCTCATCCTTCTGCTGGGAAAATTCCTGCATCGCCCTCAGGTGAAGAAGATTTTGTTCAGGAAACGTTTGGGATTTCAATTACGACGCATTAAAGAGTAGAAAGGGTAGAAAATATTTGGTGTTACCCACTAAAACTGTGTAAGTGAGGATATACCGTTAATGTCTCTTGAAAGCCCAGTCAGTTTGCTTCCCCTGGTGACAATATTGCGTGTTACAGTCAAGTTCTCTTCTGATTTTAAGGCTCTAAATAGTTAAAATACAAAGCAGACGTGCACACAGTGACACACATACTTGTCTAAGCCTTTGCATTCCCTGCTGCTTCCGTATTTTGCTGTTTCACACTCAGCTTGGCAAGTTCCAGTTCAGCACCACTGAGTTCCTGGACTTCTGACTGGGAATTCTGTGTGGGCTGTGTCACCTCCTTCTCTCACAGCAGGTGACACCTCAGGATTTAATAGGGTTACAGAAGGGTTTGGGTTGGAAGGAACATTAAAGATCATCCCGTTCTACCCCCTGCCATGGGCAGGGACACCTTCCACCAGCCCAGGGTGCTCCAACCCTGTCCAACTTCCAGGGATCCAGGGGCAGCCACAGCTTCTCTGGGCAACCTGTGCCAGGGCCTGCCCACCCTCCCAGGGAAGAATTCCTTCCTATATCCCATCTGTCCCTGCCCTCTGGCAGTGGGAAGCCCTTCCCCACTGTCCTGTCCCCTGTGCCACTGCTTAAATCAGCGCAGACCCAGCCTGTCTGCAGGCACCATCCTTGTCCTGGACATCCTCCTCCTCACCTGGGCACCTGCAGAGTTTCCTGAGTGTGTTGGCTGCTGCTGTCCTTGCTTTGCTGGGCTGTTCAGGGATGGATCAGCTTCCAAACAAGCAATAATTGAGCACCAGGAGCAGCTGAAGGGGAGCGCTGCCAGCAGCAGCAGCTTGGGTTTCAGTGCCCCACTTCAGCTGCAGGAGGGGAAGGTGCCCGGACAAAGGGGGGAGAGAAAGGAGGTGGAGGAAATGGAAACCCAGAGAGACATCCTGGAAGGAAGTTAAAGGACAAAAAAAAAAAAAAAAAAAAAGAGTGTTGCTGGCACATCTGCAGCCCTGTCAGCAGGAGCCTACAAGGAGCGCTCTGTTTGGGGCTGGGAGGGATTTGGCTGAAGCTCCCCACGAGCTCCCAGGCCCTGGTGCTTAAGAGAGCATTCACTCATCTAAAAACATGAATGCTGGAGGTGTTAAGGTACACACAGCAATGGGAAATGTTTTTCTGCCCTGAGAATTGGGGTTTCAGAGCTTGTCTGAGCTAAGGGCAGGCTAAGGAACAGGCACAGGGTGTGCTTTTGATCTGGGTGAGGTGAACTTGGGGGTTTAATTATTATTGTCTGGTGGAAGGTGTCCCTGCCCATGTTATAAGTTATAATATGTAAGTATGTAATAAGTAAGGAGTTGAACTGTGCTGTTCCTGGCACTGGGCCAGGGAGATTTCCCCAGGTTGTTGCCCCCTTCTTTATGGCAGGAAGGGTCAGAAAACAAACTCCCCTGAAGACTTGCTTTGTGGGTCTACGATCTCTCTTTTCTTTGCCTGAGATGAAATTGCTCAAAGTTGAAAAGAATTCACTTTCCTATTGTAAAAACCCAATTAACATAGTAACTGACCTAGAACAGGCTGTTGCATGCTATTTTTTTGGAATGTAAAGCTTTTTTTTTCAATATAATCTGGTTCTGGGCTTTCCTAGAACTACCAGCTCTGCTCACACACACTCTGAGGATGGATTTGTGTTACAGCAGCTGACCTGTCCTTATTTCAAGCCATTCCCTGCACAGTGCTGTGGATAAGACATCCAGCATTTTCCAAACCTTGTGTGTTTCCCAGAATTCCTTGGTTTTTCTGTACCACAGGCCTGATATCCACCAAGATTAAGCTTTATTTCAACATAAAAAAAAAAAATGAAATAAGAAATTACTGGAAATATTTTGTGTCTGGAGGAACTGCATTATATAAATCTGTGGATGCTTTAAAATGATCTTCATTAGAAGGCTGCTGCTGCTGCACACTGAGCAAATACTCAGAAGGATTAGGGTGACTTTAAGGATGTTGCAGTTGTAGGGAAGAGTTCTTGGCATGATGTTGCTGAGTCCAATCAGTGAAAACTGCTCATAATGAGACCCAAACCCACAGTAGTGCTGCTGCCTCCAGTTCCTCTGGTTCCATCTTCTGGGTTGAACAGTTGAAATTTCCCAGCGTGGTGGTTGAGCTTCTGCTGGCAGTTAGCTGCGCTGTGTGTAACCAGTCCTGTCCTTACCCTCTGGAACATTGGCTTCCTGACTGTCTTGAAAACCTCAGAACATTTCTGGCTGTTTTTACACTCCTTGCAGCCCTCCCTGTTCAGTGTCCCCCCCCCCCCCCAGTGTTCCTGACACACAGTAATAACACACAGAGCATGAAAATGCCCATGGCTGAAGCTTCTTTCCATTGCTCTAAATTTGGGTAGGAATGGAGCCACTTAGGCAAAAATAAAGGCAGCGAGGTAAGCTTAACTTCAGTCTTTCCTTGATGTCCTGTGTGCATTCACCGTTGAGTTAAATGTCTTCAAACAGTCTTATTTCACTTGTGAGCTGGAACCTTCCCACTTGCATGGTCACCTGAGGGCACCCTGCCTTGGCCTGTGCACCTGCATGTCTCTTAGCAGGCCACTGATGCTCTTCCCCTGAAAGCAGAACGAGGCATTCGGGGCTGTTGGCTCAGTGGAGAGCGAAGAACTGGAAACCTCAAATGAGTGGGGGTTTGGGGTCTTGGTCAGGATGTGACAATTCCCAGCAAGGCTTCTCCTGGCAATATCAGCATGCATGCATGGAGATCCCAGAGTGGGGCAAACACCACACTAAGTCACGTGCCTGAAGATAAGAGTTAGAGATTTAAAATGCACAGATTGGGACACCTGGGCCTGCCGTGTTTACTGTGAACCAAACCCAGCGTGCACCGATGGGAGCTGAGCTTGTAGTATCAGGCCCCAGAGGGGGAGGGATGCTGTTGTGAGCGTGGGGAGCATCCCAGGCCCCCATCCCCTGCAGAGTGAGGACAGTCATCAGTTTAGAAGCTGATTTAAGGCTTTAGTTATTGTCCCTCAGTTTCTCTGATGCGTATTTCCCCCCCGAGGAAGGTAAGAATGTTTCTCCTTTTCTTTTTTTTTTTTTTTTCCCTCTTTTCCCCCTCTGTGCTGCTGTTCTCACAGCCTGCCCTCTCTGCTTTCCCCCTGCAGTTTGCCATGTGGGTGGATGCTGTTATCTTTGTCTTCAGCCTGGAGGATGAGGTCAGCTTCCAGACCGTGTACCACTACTACAGCCGCATGGCCAACTATCGCAACACGAGCGAGATCCCCATGGTCCTGGTGGGGACACAGGGTAAGGGCAGCCTGCATTCCCAGGGCTGCTTTTCTGACCACAGAGGCTCCTTTTTGGCAGGGCCGGGGCATCGTGAGAGG